GTCTGTGCCCTGCAGACTTCAAGAACGTGTCCATAGTGGCGCATTACATCAAGGAGCGCACTAAGAACGCCCAGTTCGTCATCATCAGGTGAGATGCTTGCATCGTACCCCCTTGCGCTCCTCCTTGGTTTCCTATCACAAGCCTCCCTGCATTCGTGAAGGACTTCCCTATTGCATATTTTGTTTTCATGGTATCACTATCGTTCTCAATACTGTGTGTCTGTTCCCTGTTCCACAGCCTGCGCAACAACATGTTTGAGCTGGCGGACCATCTCGTTGGGATATACAAGACACACAACTGCACCAAGAGCATTACCATCAACCCACGTAGCTTTGCAGTATCGGCTGCTCCTACAGCGGCGGCTGCTCAACTGCTGCTACTTAATATTTAAACGGGGACTGCTCCAGCCACTATCAACGTTTACAAGATGTTTGTGATTCTCTGTTGAAACAATATGTGCATAAATGTTAGAGCGATATGTATAATAGTCCGATTGTGAAATGTTTCTTGCACCTACCGGTATGTGTTGCTTCCAGATGAGCAACAGATTGAGGCAATAAAGCGAATGAAACTCCCACAACCAGCACGAGATTCAAGAGTTGTCTTCTTTCAACACCGCAAGCTTCAAAATCGATTGTGCTACTTCTGCTACCGTCGATTTCTTTTCTCTGGACCATCGCACTTCCAAGTCGCATTTACGCCTTCTCCTCGAGTCGTATTCCAGTCTTCTTATGACATTCCGTTTTCCATGAAAATCGAAATATTGTGGCAGGCCATAGTTCCGACGTCCGTCTCGGATCTACCTGGTTAGTCTGGTTAGGAATCTTCCATTCACTTTTTCTCTGACTGTACCAGCTGCTCCGTTTTCACTCTCTGAGCCTATAGCCGTTGGCGCGACCATGGCTTCTGAGGATCTGCCTCGTGGCTCCGTAGCGGTCATGTCGGAGGTGGAGGTCATGTTCGCTTTCCTTGCCTACGCCGTTCCAATAGTGGCGATGATCTCGTACCACAAACGCAGGTATGGACACAAACTTACCCTCTAACGCAGATTCTGACATGATCTCATACCGAATGCAGGAATTGATTGATGATGAGCAACCTTATGTATCAATTCCTAACACAAACGCAGGCAGTGACTTGGTTATTATGTACGCAACTATCAGCAAGTTAATATCACTGCTAACACAGGTGTCGACATATTGCGCTACCATAAACCAGGTTATGGCATGGTTCCTCACCATAAACGTCAGTACCGCATGCAAGTTCTGAAAAAAACCGCATAGCAGTAGCACAAGTTCTGATGGCGTGTTACACCTTCTACACAGGTCCGATTTGTGCAAATCAAACAGGTCTTTGACATTGCCCCTTCCAAGAGTGCAAGTAAGTACCTCCGTACCGCAAATGCAGGCATTCACGTAATAGATAATCTGAATCGCATCTATTCGCATGAGTTGTGATCACCTGTTTAGGCAGTGACGCATTTTCTTACAAAAACATGGATTGACTGACATATCTATTCGCCTTAGAGGTCTTAAAAGCACCTGTGCTATGAAAGCGGGTACTGATGTGTTCCGTTCACTCTGAAGACATCTACATAGACGTAATTGACACACAACTCTGGTACTGACATGACTTCTTAGTGGTGACGCGGGAATGAACTTGATTCTTTACCACAAACCCAGGTGCTAATGTGAGTGTTACAGAGGCACTGACATTATGTGAATAATACATGGAAGGATCAACTGTTTTCTTGAAATGCAGGCTCTGACATGTTTTAAATAGCATTTCGGAAGTGCTGAACTTATGACAAGAAATGCAGGTACAAGCCATACAGGCACTCCGTTGCTGAAATTCCTTCTTAACCCTCGATCTCTCTTTCCTTTACTACGTTTCCCCAATCACGCCAGCACCCAGTGGTACCACAACCACATGGCTGCAGCATTCGGTCCTGACTGGAGAAACCACTCGCCAGTGGCTGGTCTGCGAGCAGCCAATGAGGAGGCAACACAAAGCAAGAGGCTCCCCAGCTTGCCAGAACACCCAGAGGAAGAGCAAGAGGAGAAAGCGCAGCAGGAGAGTGCAGGGGAGGGAGAAGGGGTTGAGAAGAAGTCGGGCAAGGGAGAAGTGGGAGAAGAAAAGGGGCAGCTGGAGAAGCAGAAAGAAAAGGTCAAAGCGGGCCAGAGAAATCAGCGAGCGAGCCACAGGTCACTTTTCAACATGCGGAATCTGAGCAGTCCTTCTGTCTTCCTTCCTGCCACTCTCGCCCTCTTGGTGGCCGTGCCTCTCGGCCTTGGGAGTGGGTTGATCGGCTTCATGCATGGCGTGGTTTTGGGCCCACAAGAGGCCATCACATCTGCACTGTATGGTGTTGCTGCTGGAGCACTGTACCCATTTCATCTGCTTGGGTTGCTCAGAGACCAAAAGCATGCACATGAAGATTAGGAGCCATGTGATGTTTCTTGCCAGAATTAACTCTGATAAGGCGTCCTAGCAGGCGCATCAACTAGGCTAGTGCCTTATGCTTATACACAGTGCAGTCAAATCTGTGTCATCCAGTCTTCTGATTGTTCTGCCCCACATTTGAATAAAATGGAGCAGGGAACCAAGATAATAAGTTGGTACCAGGTTTACACTTTAGGGGTGTTATTTAGCAGACTGAACAGGGAATCTGAGAGGGAGAACCCAAGACACTTGGCCATGTCCTTGACCCTGATGTCAGGCCGGGGATCCCCTCTGGCAACCAGCCATGCATGGATGATGAAGGCTTTGTTCATGGTCCATAGCTCCACTGCCTCTGGGTTGAACACCAGACCCATGCGCTTGCTCATCTGGTGGAGACAGGCAAGTTGGGAGAGGAGGGAGAGTAGAAAGATGCGGTAGGAGAGTCAGGAACGAGAGCATGGGGGAAGGATAAGCCAAGGACTTTTACAAGCACCAGTGCCAGAATTGGCTCAGATGGGGTGTGGCATGATTCTCACCTGATGCGGCACCAACATTGCAGCATACCGGCCCAGCTCTCCCGCACGCCAGTCCAGCACTGCTGGCAACCACGGGTAGGCGGCATCCAGACGGACGAACCACAGGCGGACATCTGGCAGCTCGGACAGTTCCCGAGGGTCAATGGGGTCGTCTCTTTCGTATTTGATGGTGAAGCCCAGGCGGCGAGTGAGGAGGGGCGATGGGTCGGAGATGGGAGGGGACGTGTTGTCGCCTATTTGTGCGACGAACGGTCGCATGACCTGGTGTGCGACGGTGAGATCAAGGCTGCGAATCATCTCCTTGGTCACGTGAATCTCGAACCGACCCTCCGTTGGGGGTGGGGGTGGCGTGATGCTGGTCTCAGGATCTGAGAGGAGATGAGGAAACGTTGGAATTTAAGAAGAAGGACGAGGCAGCCGAAAAAACGACGAAACTTAGACGAATGAAAGGAAGCAACGAGAGGATCACACCACTCACCAATCAATTCGTCTTAGGCTAAAGCTCAGGTCTTTCGAAGGATCGTACACGGCTGCTCGAGTACTCGGCCGTGCATGACCGCAACGACGATTGTATGTATCATCCTGAGATTGTCTAGGAGTACTGCGTGCTGATCTCAATGCCGTGCAGAAAATGCCGGCGCAACGGGTGCTAACGGTCACATTTCTCACTGAAATGGGGGCCCTGCGGAGCTCGTTGAGAAATATGGAACGATGAGCAAATACAGATATGTCTGAACGCCTCGATTGCGCATCAACGGAAGGAAGCACGCGATGGTCTATCAAGCTAGTGCTCTGAACGAGACACCTCGTCGCCGCCATTTTGCTGCAGAGTACCAAGGATCACACTCAAACCTAACACGACTGCCCCAGTCTAAGTTGGCTTTGATCAGTCAGCTTCATTCACTGATGAACTCAACTCATTAGTGCTCTCTGAAGTGGAGCTCATACATTCACCCTAATCTATCTGCTCTAGTGCGTCTGACAGTGCATGCACGGACACGAGCTAGCAGTGTCAGTTCAGGGAACAAGCGCCAGGGACATGGCAGCTCGGGTCCATGTGGCAGCACATCTGTGGCTGGAGATTCTCGAGGTGCCTCGGGAAAACCGAACCAGTTTCGTTGGACCCCAAATTGGACCGAAAGGAACTCGATTCGCAAACTCTGGTTACATATCTCTGTCGCAGCATTTCCTCGCGAAAGCACATCTTTTCCCCAGAGAAAGTGCAGAGCCGCTGACATGTCAGCGCGCGCGGGGTGGAGTGGAGAGTGCTGTGCTGGTTGCACTGCATGCAAACACCTGCGCCAAAAAGCTGAAATATCTCAACCAACGCCGACAGATCAGACCAGAGCAAACCCAAACCGAACCAATTTTCTGCAGTGCAGCATTTCATCTGTTTCAGGAGTATATCAGGCGTAGTAGAGCAGCTAAAGGCCTGGCATTCTTTGTACTTCCACCTGAATCTGGTCTTATTAGTGGTTCCAGCATAGGATAGTCGACGCAATCGATGGCCAGAGGAAGTGCGGCCAGGAACTAGCCAATTAAGTCGACATAAGCGTTGTAATTTCGCGAATTCAGCCCGTGCGAAGCTTCTCTGATGCATGTTGGTTACAGACATCAGCTTTTCCACAGCCGATTTCACGGCGCGTTCACCGGTTATGATGGCGAACGCAAATTCTTTCACTCGCGCAAGCCTTTGGCCTCCACCAGCGGGGGTAGTGCATCGATCATGCCGCCGTACCCACGACACTGCTTCTTCAGGACCTCGACCTCGGAAGAATGCGGATCTATCATGCTTGGGAATCCGTAACACCAATAAGCAGGTCATGTTTATAACGCATACGGAATTCTCACATTCATCTGGCTCAGTGTTAGTCACGGCCAGAAGCAGCCATTGTTCAAGCCGATCAGCTCTGGTACCCTCCACCCGGCTCACCTCCCCAACAACCCTGGCTGCTGCACCGCTCTCGACCCATCACAGTCTCAGGCTGAGTCTACAGCCATCGGCGCGCCTCACCGACCGCATGCACCACGAGCTACTCACCTGTCGCCAGGCTTTCCTCTCCCCCCGCAAAACCCTCTTCTCCTCGACACTCCTTCCCTCCCCCAGCCGCCCGTTGCTGCAACCACGCCTGCTCTCCGACTGCTCCTCCTGTGTTCCCCACAACCCCCATCCATCCTCCGCCAGAGCGTCCGCCTCCTCGTTCTCTCAAAACGGCGCGTCTTCTTATCCGCCTTACCAGCAACCCCCCTACCGCCACCAACAACCCTCCTTCCCACCACCTCTCTCCTACCCGCCTTCGTTCCCCACCCCAGCACCTTACCCTCACAACCCCCCGCTACCGTCACACTCGTTTCAACCGCAATCGGGGTCAGCAACGTGTCCGCCCGGCGTGGGCGTGTTCTGGGACTACGAGAACTGCCCCGTGCCCGTCGGCGCCGACTGCGCTGCGCTCGTGCGGCGCCTGCGCGACGTGGCGCGCGCGTTCGGCGTGGTGCGGAGCGTGCGCGCGTACGGGAAGCCGGAGGAGGTGCATGCGCGCATGGTGGGAAAGATGGGCGCGTGCGGCGTGGAGGTGGTGGCGGTGGCGGCGGGCAAGGAGATGGCGGACAAGGCCATCATCACCGACGCGCTGCTCTTCGCTCTCGACGAGCGCGAGGTCAACCGGTGAGGCGAGGCGGATGTCGAGGGGGAGGTAGCGGCGGATGTAACGGAGGAAATGGGTAGAGATGAGTGCAGCACGGTGCAGCGCATTGAACAGTCCTCTCTCCCTTTATTCACGCCCGACTCAAAACTCGTTACAACTCGTGCTATAGAATGGTGTTTTGAGAAGTGCACAACACGTACCAGCAGCGCTTGCTGCCTCGCCCGAGTTTTGAGTCGACTCAAAACTCGTTACAACTCGTGCTATAGAATGGTGTTTTGAGAAGTGCACAACACGTACCAGCAGCGCTTGCTGCCTCGCCCGAGTTTTGAGTCGACTCAAAACTCGTTACAACTCGTGCTATAGAATGGTGTTTTGAGAAGTGCACAACACGTACCAGCAGCGCTTGCTGCCTCGCCCGAGCAAACGCCTTCTTTGCATCGGCTTCACTCAACGTCCCGCCCTCTCCCTTCTCCTCGCCACCTCCTCGCCCTTCCTTCCTGCCCGTTCTCTTGCATTCGCACACCTCCCTCCCACGCCCTGCCGCCTGCAGAGCCGTCCCGCCGTGCGTGGTGGTGGTATCGGGAGACGTGGGGTTTGCGGGCATGCTGGCGAAGCTCACCAACCGCGGCGTCACCACCGTGCTGCTCGCGCGCCCGCGCAAGAACGGCAGCAAGGGCAAGCGCGGCACCATCCCCGCGCCCCTGGCGCAGTCAGCGGCCGTCACTCTCGACTGGGACCAGCTCATCCTTGCGGGGGAGAGCGGTGCAGGTGGGGAGAACGGGTGGAGGGGCGGCAGCAGGGGAGGCGACGATGGTGGTGTTGCCGAGAATGGGAGTGCTGCTGCTGTTGCGCGCGGTAGCAGCATCTTTGGCAGCAGCAGCAGCAGCAATGGCGGCGGGGGTGGTGGTAGTATGAGCAGCAGTGGCAGCAGTGCAGTGGAGTCGGTTGGTGCCATCCGCAGCGGCATGGGTAGCAGCGCCAGCAGTGGTAGCGCTGCCATCACCAGCTTTGGCAATGGCAGCCTTAATGGTAACGGTAGTTCCAACGGCAGTGCTCGTAGCAATGGCGGCAGTATCAGCAGCAGCAGCAGCAGCAGCAGTAGCAGCAGCAGCAGCAGCAGCAGCAGTAGCAGCAGCAGCAGCAGCATCAATGCTGGTGGGACGTCAGGCAGGGAGAGGACAGAGGCGATGGCGAGTGGGAGGGAGGGCGGGGGCAGGGGCAGGGAGGACAAGGAGGAGATGCAGCAGAGGCTGCGATCGCTGGAGGAGCGACTTTCGCACGTGGAGAAGGGCGTGGCGAGTGGGGGCAGGGACAGCAGGCCAAGCAGCAGTGGCGCGTGTGATGGGGCGAATGAAGCAAGTGAAGCAGCAACGGACAGGGGTCAAGAGAAGATCACCCCAGGCGATGCAGAAGCTCCACCGCCGCCGGAGCTCAAGGCAGGTGAGGGGGTGCAATCCCACGCGGAGGCAGAGGGGGGCCCACTGAGGGAGTCGTGGGCGGACGTGATGGCGCGCGCCCTGCCCGTGCGCTCGCCCGCGGATGTGCTCAGAGCGCGCCTGCGCGCCCACATGCTCACCGCGCTGGCGGCCCACGGCGCTCTCACCACATCAGCGCTGTTCGTGGCGTACCAGCGCGTGTACGGGCGGCAGCTGCGCCTGGCGGACTACGGGCTGCGCGACGTCAAGGCGCTCGTGGCGCTGCTGCCACACGTGCTGGCCGTCAGCGAGGGGTGGCCGGGGCAGGCCGCGCGCAAGAAGATGAGCGTTGAGGCGCGCGAGGCCATGGCCCGCCGCCGCACATTCTCCCTCGTGCGCTCCCACGGCAACCTGCGCGCGCTGGCACTGGTGCAGTCGCGGCTGCGGTGCGTGGTGGTGGCCGTGCTGCAGGCGCATGTGGCCCGCGCGGATGCCGCCTATGCTGCTGCGCGCGTGGCACGGGGCAGCGCTGGTGCGGTGGGGGGAAGAAGTGGGGAGGGCGCAGAGCGGAGTGGCAAGGGCGAGCAGGTCCCTGGGGACGGCATGGTGCCAAGTGAAGGCAGCAGTAATGGCGAGGACGGGAGCAGCAGGAGCGATACAACTGGCAGTGGGAGTATTATACGCAGCGGCAGCAGCGGTGGCACGAGGAGCAGTGCGCGCGACAGGAGGGCGAGCAGGTGGATGGCGGTGGAGGAACTGGGCGCGGCAGTGAGGCGCGCGTGCAAGGAGAGGCTGGGCGTGCTGCTGACCCGCCACGGGTACGGGCGAGACGCCTTCTGCAACGTGTCTCAGAAGGCTCGCCTGGTGGCGGTGCTGGCAGACATGCCCGACCTCGTGCGACTGAAGAAGCTGAGAGGGGCGGGGGGTGTGGTGCTGGTGGGGCTGGTGGCTGGCGCTGAGGCCGACCCCGTTGTGAGCCAGTGGGCTGAGCGGAACGAGCAGCTGTGGGATGGGCGCGTGTACTCGTGGCAGGACACCCGTGGGGAGGGGGATGGCGGCTGGGATGATGAGGAGCGGGATGAAGACGAGGAGGAAGAGGAAGAGGAGGAGGAGCAAGCAGATGTTGGGAGGTGGGTGGTAAGGGAGGCTGTGAGGAGAGGAGGAGAGCGGGACATGTTGGGTGATGGAAGTGAGGGTGATTGGAGTGAGGAGGGGAGTGATGGAGAGGAGGGGGAGGAAGAGGAGGAAGATGAGGAAGAGGAGGAAGAGGACGAGTGGTGGGAAGATGATGAGGAGGAGGAGGGTGACGAGGAGGAGGAAGAGGAGGAGGCAGAGGATGAGGAGGAAGAAGAGGAGGAAGAAGAGGAGGAAGAAGAGGAGGAGGAATATGAGGAGGAGGACGAGTATGGGTTTCTGGCAACAGGGGATATGTACGAGGAAGAGGAAGAAGGGCGCACATGGCAGGGCAGGGAGGGCAGGGAGGGCAGGGAGGGCGGGGTGCAAGTGGCAGGTGAGCGGCGCATGAGGGAGGGTGGTGGCGTGGTGGGTGGGCGTGGCAGCGCATACAGTGAATGGGGCGAGAAGGAGGAGGGCGAGAGTGGGCAAGAGCAGGGCAGCAGCGCGGGCGTAGGGGGGGTGCAGGCACATGGAGCCTCGTCCTCGCCTGGGGAGTGCAGAGCAGGGGCAGCAGGTGGTGGGGTTGTTGAGGGATACCGTGTGGTGGCAGGGTGGGAGGATTGGCGGGGCGAGGAGGGCGAGGAGGGCGAGGAGGGCGAGGAGGGCGAGGAGTATGCGTACTATGCGGCATATGACAGCCATGAGAGCGAGGGGGAGGGGGATGGAGATGCTCGTATGAATGGTGCCGTGCATGCGCTGTCTCAGCCACCTTTCATTGCGCCTGGGGATGCTGCACCTACACCTGCACCTGCCCCTTCAGCTGCCCCTTCAGCTGCCCTTTCTGGTGCCCCTTCAGGTGCTGTGCCCCATGATGGTGCACAGGCTGAGGCAGCTGCTGCGAGCAAAGCTGATGATGTTTCTGCGGAAGCACGCCTTCCCACTCCTGCATTTTCTCTTACTCCTGCTCCTGCTCTCACTACTCCTACCACTGCTGCTGGTGATGATGCTCCTACCGCCGCTGCTCCTACCGCTGCTGTGCCTGCACTTGCGTTGGTCGGAGGGAATGACAATGAGCACCAGGGCAGCAGCAACGGTGGGCAGTGGCCTGACGGTGTCCCCACACCCGTGCAGTCCGCCCCGCGCCTTGCTCGCCTTCCTCGCCACCCAGCCCGCGTGCCTGCTGCCTCTGAGCACGGCCAGGGCGGCGTGGGTCAACTGTTGCAGCACCACGCACATCCCACTGCGCTGCACAAGCCAGACTGCCATGCCCAAGACTCCCCAGGTGCTGCCCACACCACAGCATTCCACGACCCGCTGTGGACCGCCGTGTTTGCCTCCGCGTCGGCCCTGCGCTCGCCCCTCGAGCTCGCCCTCCTTCGCTTCTCCCTCCGTACTCTCACTCTCCTCGCCGCCCGCGGCCCGCTCCCACTGGGCGGCATGGCTCGGGAGTTTGTGCAGCGTGGGTGGTGGAGGCCCGACCCTGCTCGGGTTGATGTGGATGCGTTGGTTAGGCCAATTACCACGGTGGTGCGTGATTATAATGAGTATGCGTATATCGAGGGAGGTAGAGTGATGGGAGGGGAGGAAGGTACGAGGGGTGGAGGAGCCAATGTGGTTGGTGTTGCCGGCACTCGTAGTTGGAGTGAGGGTGGTTCTTCTGGTGGTGGTGAAGCTGAAGCTGCGGCTGCTTGGGTTGGGGGTGCAGCGGTGAACGGGAGGGGATGGGTGCAGCGCGAGCAGAGGCTGGCAGTGGTTGGGAGTGAGAGGGCGTTGCAGCTGCTGAGTCTCGTGCAGTCAGGGCTGTGCCGTGTGGTGCTGGGGGTCGTGCTCACACACGGTGCTGACTGGGATGCCCCCGCTGCTCCCTCTGAGCCCCTTCAAAAGGACAGCTCTAGACACAGCAGCAGCAGCAGCAGCAGGTGGATGTGGCTGGAGGAGCTAGCAGGCAGGCTAGAGGAGCACACAGGGCATTCCCTGCCGAGCCTGCTCGTCAGGCACGGGTACGGCAGCCGTTCCTTCCCCGGGTGGTCTGTGAAGGCCCGCCTGATGGCGCTGCTGGGTGACATGCCTGACCTCGTGCGCGTGGGCGAGGCAGGGGCGCTGCTGCCAATGGGGGAGATGACCGATGGGGAACACAGCGGCGCGTTGAAGCACCATGAAGAACATACGTGCAAGGGCGAGCAGTTGAAGGAACGGAGTGAGGAGGGGGCGTACATGTGGAGGGATGGGTGTGTGGATGATGAGGAGGCAGCTGAGGAGTGGTGGCTGGAGATGGATGGCGGGGAATGGGCTGAGAGTGATGAGCTGGGCCTGCGGCATTGCGGCCTCGTGGTTATGCTGGCAGAGGGCGCTGAGCTGGACCCGCGCTTTAAGACATGGCACGTGCGCAACGAGGGCAAGTGGGACGGGCGCGTCTACTCCATGGCTGGCCTCAGCCTTGGGATTGCCTCTGCCCTTGCCTCTTTTGGCGGTGGTGTCGAACAGAAGGTGCAAAGCAATGGATTCAAACGTGAGGGGAAGGATAAGGTGTGGGGAATGGATGGGATGGGATTCGATGATGGTCTTACAAGCAGAGACGGTGTGAGGGAGGATGTGATGGAGCGCGTGGTGAGCCATGTGAGTGATTGGTTGGTGAATGTGCCGGAGGGATTTGATGTGGAGAGAGTGGTGGAAATGGAGAGGAAGTGGAGGGAGGAAGATGCGGAACTTGAACTGAGTAGTCAAGTGGAGGAGGATTTGCACGAAGTGATTTAGGAAAGTCGGCACAGAAAAGGGATGTGGTGTATAGCACCCATTGAACAATTTTAGTGTTTGTTCTAATTTGATTTATTGATTTCACAATTCCTGGCGTGATATCCGCGCTACATGTGCGCGAACCAATTTCCGTCCACCAAATTCTCGTCATTCCCAAGGAAACGCTGCCTTGATTTGGCTCACGGATATGGCTAACGGTCAATAGCTTCTCGAGATTTTAGCACAGGAATAAGTCAATGAGTGATTGGTATTCAGAGTCTCCCCGAAGGCCGTAGCGACGCCACGTTACCTGCCGCTCCGGCACGATGCGTTGCTGACACCGCCTTACTCCAGGATCGGCCTACGCCAGCATGATGAGACGAGCTGCCGCCAAGGGCCAACCGCCTGTTCCCTCGGAGGGGAAGACTTTCAGATTTCCTCGCTCAACGAGAATCGCCACTTTCGTCCTTGTCTTGGTCCTACTTGTAGTTACCACGTTTTGCTACACCAATCGTTACTTCGCTACCGTTTCAGACGATTCCGTTCATCCAGATGACCTCAGCGATCAGGAATCCACGTCGGATGCTCCCGCCAAAGGTAGCGAGCAGTCGTTCCCGACGGTGGAACCGAGTGCGACGGAGAAGATCGCTTTCCTCTTTCTCACGCCAGGCCCGCTCCCCCTCGCTCCGCTGTGGGACCGATTCTTCCAGGTGCGCCTCGCCGCTCCCTCGCTCCCTCACGCTGCCTCACGCGTGCATACTGCGCTCTTAGGTGCGCATTGGTGCGATTCACAAGCCTCGGATAATGGAGCGTGCTCGCTCTCTGAGCACGGCCACACGCCGCTCTCTCGCTCTCTGTCTCTCTGTCTCTCTGTCTCTCTGTCTCACTGTCGCTGCCCCGCGCGTCTGCCCCCAGCAGGGCCACGAGGGGCGGTACTCCGTGTACGTGCACGCGTCCACCCCCGGCTTCACCTTCCCGCCTGACTTCTCCCCCACCTTCCGAGATGCTCTCATCCGAGGCGGCAAGGTGAGCCCACGTGTGTAGCGCGGTGGGTCTAGGCGTGGAGAGCGGTGGGGCGTGGAATGCGGTGGGGCTAGGTGTGGCGCATGGGGACAGGCAGGGCATGATTGACTGCTCTCCAAACCTCTGACTGTTACCTGCACTCGCATAGTCGCGTCTCATGCATGGTGTGGCATCCGTTGCATGGCATCAATTGCATCCCATGTGTTGTTCCCCTCCAACGCCAAACACTGATGCACAGCAAGCCTTGCTCTCCCCCCTCCTTCCATCCTGGCCTTTCTCCACGTGTGTGGCCCCACCATGCGCCCAGGTGGCATGGGGCGACTTCTCAATGGTGGCAGCCGAGAGGAAGCTGCTCGCTGCTGCCTTCTTCGACCCCCTCAACGCCTTCTTCGCCCTCCTCTCCGACTCGTGAGCCCCCTCCGCCCCTCTCCCACTCGGCAGTCCGCTCCGCCCCTCTCCCACTCGTCACTCCGCTCCGCCCCTCTCTTACGCACCGCTTCTGCCACTTGCCACACAGGCAGAAAGAAATACTGGAAAAATATGGTTTGTGGCAGTCAGTTTCGAGCAACACTTGGGTGTAGTGCGAACCAGAGCCGTGGCAGCATTGATTTCTCCACCCCCCTCCCCCCCTGCCACGGCAGGTGCATCCCCCTGTGGCCCTTCACCTTCATCTACAGCTACGTCGCCTCCGCCAACGTCAGTCTACTGGATGCGTGAGTGCGCCCCTTCTGCTCCTTCCCTTGCTCCTCTGTTCTTGTTGCTGATATAACTGCAGAATCTTCAACTTCCCGCTCTCTCTCCCACTTGCCTGTCCTGCAAGATGGTTTCGCGAGTCATCTGCGTTGCCTTTGAGAATTGAACATCGTGTTGTTGTGTGAACCCGTGTCGGTGCAGGCACCATGACAAGTACCGCATGGGATTCCGGCGCTACGAGCGGCACATCTTCAGTCCGCTCATTCACAAGGACGACTATGTGGGGGGCAGCCAGGTACAGCACGGGGCAGCCAGCTACAGCAAGGGGCAGCGGGGCTAGCTGCTGGCAGGAGACCCTCTGCTGCATGCCTTGCACTGCGCGAGTGTGGGCGCAACTCTGCTTCGTCTTCTGTTCTTGGTGATCATTTCACACCCCCCTACAATTTATTTACATGATGTGTGTGCCGTGCTGTGGTGCATGTGCGGGGGCAGTGGCTTGTGCTGCGGAGGAGGCACGTGCAGATGATCACGAGGGACACGGCACACTACCTCACACACCAGAAGAGCTGCCAGGTGCGCACCATCTCAGGTGAGAGTTGTGCCTGGTGAATGCCGTGTCAGGTGATTTAGGAAACTTTGTTTCAGTGGGTTGGAGAAGGTGATGGGTGGTTGAGTGGCCTTCTATATTCATGAGAGGAGGATAAAGTTAGAGTGGGGGTAGGGTGAGTGCTGCGTGAGTCAACTCAGAAGAGCTCATCCGCCCCCTGCTCCCACACATTTGTGTGTGTGCAGTTCCGCATGAAGAGGGGCAGCCGCTTCTGCTGTGCCGATGAGCATTACATCCAAGTGCTGCTGCATGTGAGTGGATATCGAATATTTCCGTGAGTATTGTTAAATGCAGCTGTTATGGTACCATCATGTGACTATGAGCACAGACACATGGAACAGGGCTAGGCGTTCCCAGTCCTCACTCTCACAGTCGTGCATCATTCTGCTCCTGCTTTCCTGCTCTCTTTTTTTCTTTCTCCCTTGCTCGCCTTCCCTGCTGTGCCTGTCGTCCAGCTGTATGACCCCTCGGGAATATCCCGCTATCCCACAACCTTCGCCGATTGGAGTCTGTCAGAGTGGCACCCCAAGCTTTTTGCTGCTGAGAATGCCACCAGTGACCTTATAACGAGTATAAAGGTATGACCCATGGTCACAACTCACTGTCCTGCATTTGGTTGATGATGCCCAGCGCACTAGCTTGCATCGCTTTTCTCAATGCTGCATGCTGCTTGCATCGTCCCTGACTAATTTTCTTTTGGTATTGCACGTGTTTCCGTCTGCCTTTGTGGCATGTGGTTGATTGCCCAGTCATCCAAGCAATTTCTCTCCTACCGCAATTTTTGGAAGGATTTACGGAGCAATTTTTCCTATGTAAGATTCTCCCTTTCCCACACGCGTTGATCCAGCTTCGATAGCCTAGGTTCCGACTGCTCCCACTGTTGAATGCGATCGACAGTTGAACTTGGTCATGTCTAATATTCTATCTATCTCACGCAACCCTGGGGGTTGTTGATTCCTCTTGCTTGCGCAGATCGAAGATCCAACTCTTCCACAACCTGAATGGGTGAGTTTCAATGTCGCCTCTCCTCTTGCCGCCTCCCCCTCACCTTTCCTACCCTCCCGTCGCCTCCCCTCACATCACATTGCTCACGCATCCATAATGCTGCAACATTTTTCATGCTCTGAATGTTGATTGATGAGATTTTTATTTTCTCTGTCCGTTTCTTTGTTTCTAGTCGCCATCAAACGGATTTTGTTCCATTGACGGGTTGCCACGAAATTGCTTCTTGTTTGCTCGCAAATTTGATGACTCAACTCTGGAGTTTTTACTAAATCATTCTAAGGAGCTTTTGGGCTTTTGAAGTGAAATTTCATCATTCATACGCGTTGCAGTCCATGGGCAACAACAAAAGCGTCATTTGCACGCTCTGACCAGCGAAGTGCTCAAATGTCGCAGAGTGCTGTAATCGCCGCAACCAGTCTTGAGAAATGTAGCGACGAAAGATTCTTCGCGAACCTCTCCGCATTTCCTAGAAATTGTCGCGCAAATTCCACCCACTTCGGCCATTTACTCACCAGCCCCTCCACTCGCCTTGCCTCGCGTTGCCTCGCCTCGATTGCCATCATCGCGAATTTCTGCTTCCATCTACGTACCAATTCCCATTCCTGCTTTCGCTGAATGCTCCTCATGGTTAGAAGCTCACAAGAAGCCCTTTGCCTTCTACTTGGTTCCTAGTCGCTCGAGTTCCCGCTGCCTGTAGCCGTCTTGCTCACAAATGACGTATTTATTGCAAGCGACAAGACATTCAGCCGCACAAGCTCTTTCGAGTTCAACCACCAGTGCTTTAGTTGTTGAAGCGAAGACTGCCTTCAGAGTAACAATCCCGCGAAAGTCATCCGATTTTCTTTCATCTCCCGTAAATCCCGTCCCGAAACCAAGTATTTCGTTAGAGTCGTCGTCTCGGCGCACGACAGCCTACGCCAGAGAAGGTTCTATTCGGTCAAGCTCCACAGTCATGTAAGCGGTCGTTTCGTCGGCCAATGGACCCTAGTTCCTTCTTTATTTTATTTTCCCGTCACTAGCGTTGCATTGTAGGGGTTCCGACCTTCGCTGTGCACAGGCATCCTCATCCCGCACCGTGTATCTGTTGTCAGGGCGAAGGAGTTCGTGAGGAAGATTCCGAGTAGCTCGCTGTACGTGTCCCGTCCCACGTGGTGGCTGGAGTCGCGCTTCCACTTCAGCTTCGCGGAGTACTTCAATCCGGCCAATCAGGAGTTCGGCGTGCTGCGCGTCCTCAACGACGACCTCGTCCAGGTCCCTCCCACACGCCTTCACCTGCTCACTTCATATGTTGTCCTTCAGCCCCTTCGCTTTGAACATTCTAGACTCAACTCCTCTGGTCCTTCCAACTTCCTGTCCCTCCGTGCCGTTCATGCTTGGCAGCCCAACGCTGGGTTCGGGACACATCCACACCGCGACATGGAGATCATCACGTACGCCGTGGACGGGCAGCTCACTCACAAGGACAGGTGCGCGCCCCCCAGTGACTCGCCTCGCTCCACCATCCAAGCATTCTGCTTCAATGACGCAATATTCCATCCATGACAATTCTTAAAGAGAACTTCTCCATTTAATGCTTTCCATTGTCGTGAATTTCTCTTGCGCCTTGACCCTGGCCTGGCAGCATGGGGACAGCGGAGACGTTGGGGCGTGGGTGCGTGCAGTACATGAGTGCGGGCACTGGCGTCACACACTCCGAGATGAACAACTCCAACCACCTGTACGTGCGTGTGACGATCAGCACAATCCGCATTGTCATAATCTCTTCAGCCTTGTTGACCCTGTATTCCCTGCTGTAAGTTTTTTGCCCTTTCCATGCATGATCTGTTCTCCTCCTTATCCGTGCGTGCAGGCAACGGTTCATTCAGATCTGGGTGAAGCCGAACGCAAGGGGTCTCAAGCCCAACTATGGCTCGCGCACCTTCAGGTGCGCTCAACCTTGATGCAGCTCTTTGCGCCTCCCCATTGTTCAACCCTGGATCCCCCTCACTCCACTGTGCCTTTCCTCTCTCATCGCTATTGTACACTTGTAGCGCTGCATTTGATTGCTAACATCGTCTGTTCCATCTTTGCATGCTTGTAATTTCATCATGATCTGTTTCTGACCTGCTGTTGCGTTGCTCCAACCTTTCCCTTGATTCTTGCAGCAAGAGCGATCGTCACAACAAGCTGCAGCAAGTGGTAACCAGCTATGACCGTTATGGATCCACTAAAGATGCGGGGTCGGGAATCATTCCCGTGAATCAAGACGTCAACATCTTTGTGTCGGAGATGGATGGCTCAGTGGCCGGTGCTGCTGCGAGGAGCTTGGAGTACACACTACAGAAGGGGCGGCAGATGTACCTGCTGTGCATTGAGGGCGGCCTTACAGTGACCTCCAAGGAGAGTGGCATCAAGGAGACGCTCGATGCCCGCGATGCCCTGCAGGTATGCCTTTCAGCACCTCCGGCATCCTTTTGAACTCACTAAAAATGAACTCACAACTAATCGCCTATGGCCGTTTTGCAGGTTGCGGCGCCCAGAAAAGGTGACATGTCTCTCGAGTTTCAGCCTAGTGATGCTTCTGGAGCTCATATTTTGTTCCTGGAGATGGCCAGAACAGTTTGAGCTGATGTGTTTAATGCCATGCTGTATTCTTTTTACAGCAATGAGTTGTTTTTGTACCAGTTCTTCACGGTGGCAAATCGCAGGGGGTTCACCCACACTCCGCCCACACAAACCAGCCAGAAAGCTTGCAGGAATGAACGCACACACTTGAACTCCCATCACTAGGCTTAGGAGGCAGAACAAGATGCTAGGGAGCATGCTGTGTTCCCTATCCATTTTCTGTGAACTTTCTGTTGCTTGGGTTGGGCCTCATAACCTGGCTGGCTTACCTTACATGGCTTATTACCATTACAGGACAGCATCTTTCGTGCATGTTTGTGTGGAATCATGAGGGGTTGCTCCGTCACATCCTTTGACGCATCAGCTGTTGCTCACATCACATCCGAGCACCAGGTTGTGGCGACAAGGGGCTAGCTTGTGTGGCTACCGTACTACTTACACAAAGCATGGCAGGGAATCAAATGACACCAAGAAGGTCAGATTGCAAGAGGTCGGCATACATGAGCTCGTTCCAGGTGTCAGGCACGCCAGGCAGGCACCAGTGCACGCAGTCACGAATCATTCGCCCCCCTCGCCCCCGCGTTACAGCGCCATCGCCGTGCCCCACCACAGACCCATTCACCACCACCTCCTGTGGCAGCAGCTGCCTGTGGGGCAGCAGCGGTTGCTCTGACATGAACGGGTGAGGCAGAGGGGGGGCGTTTAAGAGCAGGGGGAAGGCCACGACGTGGGCGTCAGGGCGCATGAGGGAGAGGGGGAAGGCGTCCAGCAGGCGCAGCCACGGGATGCTGGGCTGCCCCGACTTGGACTCATGCACGGCCGCGGCAGAGGGTGGGGCGCCAGGCATAGTGGCAGCAAGGTCATCAGAGGCAGCTGCTACAGCAGCGCTGGCAGCTGCTACAGCTTCCTCTGCTGCGGCATCACGGCAATCGGCAGCATGTGCGCACGCTGTAGCAGGTGAGAGGGGCTCCTGGTGGGAATGGGTCGCAGGGGAGGAGAGAGAGGGAGAAAAGAGGGAGAAGCAAACATGAAAATGCGTACGGTTGGCGGGGAGCAGCATGTGCAGCAAAGCACTACTGGCTGCTACAGCAGCTTGTGCTCATGCACACACAGAGGAGGAATATTGACATACCTGTTGCAGTGGGTGTGTGCGCCTCTACCTATGTAGCACACCTTTCAAAGGCTGCATTGGCATGTCTTCCCTGCACTCACCGCATGCATGTGGCAGCGGCCACCGGATTGAAAGGTGCCGCCGGTGAAGTGGCTGGGCGAGGCGGAGCGTAGGAAGATGACGGGCGGAGCGGCACGGGCAGAGCGGGCAGCGGCGAGCGCCAGCGAGCGCATGACTGCCTGCAGTGCCTGCCTGCGCAGGCCAGCCATGAACGGCGTTGACTCCAGTTGACTCTCAGACGGCAT